GCATCCTGATCACCGCCATACCCCATACCAGCATCCTGATCACCGCCATACCCCATACCAGCATCCTGATCACCGCCATACACCATACCAGCATCCTGATCACCGCCATACCCCATACCAGTGCCCTGATCACCACCATACCCCATACGAGCGCCATGATCACCATCATACACCATACCAGCACCCTGATCACCGCCATACCCCATACCAGTGCCCTGATCACCGCCATACCCCATACCAGTGCCCTGATCACCGCCATACCCCATACTAACATCCTGATCACCACCATACCCCATACCAGCATCCTGATCACTGCCATACCATTTCATATGGGTACAGTGTTGCATGACTAATAAGTGACAAATGAGTAATTGTCACTCAAAGTGTGATTGGCCTGGATTGGAAGGGGGTGAAAGCTTCCGGACTTGAAGTTGTTAAGATGAAGAAACAAAAGAGGGGAACGCATCTATGGTGTGAACCGACCCTTACTTCGAATGAGTAAAGTCACATCTCCATCTGGGCAAGGCTGTGTAAATCTCAGAACTGGATGGGCAGAAATGCAAATCATCAGCAGATGAAATAATAGTCCCCATATGGGTATATTGCTATGTTTCTGGAGTTCAGCTTTAACGTGTAAACCAGACAAAGGTTACTGCCTTATGCAGTGTAAATCCTACATGGGCGCTTGAGCAGATATGTTTAGTTGAGTCTAATTACCATTAAAGATGATCTAATTGCGGCAGCTGATCTGTTGTTGTTTGGTGTCGTGTCACAAGACGTAAACATGCATGAGAGACACCAACACACCCACATATATAAAAGGCAATTAAAGAATGTTTGCCTGGCTGTCTATCTCCAACAAGTTTACAGACAAAGCTCATTAAGCCGGTTCCCAGCTGTCAGTCACAGGCGTGTCATGATATCCTTATCTGGGGGATCAATGCTCCCACCATGAGGAAGTCCTTGGCAAATGTGCTCGCTGTGAGTCTACCTACAGACACTGATCACCAGAATTGTGGCAATTGTTCAGTTATATGAGGTTTCCTTTGATGACAAAACACAAGAGAGGTGGTTCCAAATGACACTGAAATGGTGCTGCTACATTGTATGGCCAATAATTGTGAATGCGGGACCATCACACTTAGGCTTGTTGGACCTCTCATTACAAAACCATGGCTATTAATATGGAGTTGCCCCCTTTGCATTTATGCAATCTTCTACTTTTCTGGGAAGGTTTTCTATAAAAAATATGGAGGGTGTCTGGGAGATTGGTACCCATGTGAGTTCAGGTACTGATGTTGGATGAGAAGACCTGGCTCACCAATGGTATTCCAACTTATCCCAAAGGTGCTCAGTAGGGTTGAATCAAGGTCCTGATGTTGGACGAGAAGACCTGGCTCACCATTGGCATTCCAACTAATCCCAAAGGTGACCAGCAGGGTTGAAGAAAGGTCCTGATGTTGGATGAGAAGACCTGGCTCACTATTGGCATGCCAACTTATCCTAAAGGTGCTCAGTAGGGTTGAAGTAAGGTCCTGATGTTGGATGAGAAGACCTGGCTCACCAATGGCATTCTAACTTATCCCAAAGGTGCTCAGTAGGGTTGAAGTAAGATCCTGATGTTGGATGAGAAGACCTGGCTAACCATTGGCATTCCAACTAATCCCAAAGGTGCTCAGTAGAGTTGAAGTAAGGTCCTGATGTTGGATGAGAAGACCTGGCTCACCATTGGCATTCTAACTTATCCCAAAGGTGCTCAGTAGGGTTGAAGTAAGGTCCTGATGTTGGATGAGAAGACCTGGCTCACCAATGGCATTCCAACTTATCCCAAAACTGCTCAGTAGGGTTGAAGTAAGGTCTTGATGTTGGATTAGAAGACCTGGCTCACCATTGGCATTCCAACTTATCCCAAAACTGATCAGTAGGGTTGAAATCAGGTACTGATTAATTTGAAGACCTGGCTCACAATCCCCAAAACTGCTCAGTAGGGTTGAAATCAGGTACTGATTAAGTTGAAGACCTGGCTCACAATCCCCAAAACTGCTCAGTAGGGTTGAAATCAGGTACTGATTAAGTTGAAGACCTGGCTCACAATCGGCATTCCAAATGATCCCAAAGGTGTTCAGTAGTGTTGAGATCAAGGCTCTGTTCAGGACACTCGAGTTCCTTCAGATCAAACATGTCTTTATGGAGCTGGCTTTGTACACAGGGACACATTCATGCTGGATTAGAAAATGGTCTTCACCAAACCATTACCACCAGTTTGGAAGAGCACAATTATCTACAGTGTATTTGGGTGTAGAATTACCCTGCCTGGAAACACTTGAATTCAATCAGTTGGAGGGGTGTCTACATGCTTTTGGTCATATAGTTTAGGTGTGATAGACAGGTGACCTCCAAGGTTTGCAATGCTTTAACTGTCCTATCTACTGAAAAAATCCACAGATTGATTTTCCTGGCAAAGTCAGTATGTTGTGAAGATTTCACATTGAGCTAAAATATTCACCCTCAATCATACATCTCAAGTCTTGGATTAACCTGGTAATTGGCTCCCAGGACACCCGAAGCAATGACACCCCAGAAACTAGTGTCTGTACCGGTCCTGTACAGGAAAGAAGGCTAAGTGAGGATGCAATACAGACGTAACAAAAGTCTACAGTCTATGGAGGAGCTCAGCTAAGAGGAACGATTAGAGGAACTGAATGTGTTCTCTCTTGAGAAGATTATGAGGGAATATGATTTCTACGTACAAAGACATAGGTGATCCATACAGTGAACAGTGTTATTCACCTTAAGGTCATCACAGAGGACAAGGGGTCATTCTTTATGTCTGGAGGAAAAGAGAGTTATTCTTCATTAAGAGCTGTGAAAATGTGGAATAGACTCCCTCAAGAGTTGGTTCTGGCCAGCTCAGTGGATTGCTTTAAAAAGGCCTGGATTCTTTCCTAGATACACAGAATATAACTGGATACCAGGGGCGGACTGACAATTCATGGGGCCCCCGGGCAATAGGGGATCATGGGGCCCCTGTGTCCTTGCCCAAACTCAAAAAAGCCTATGAAAAAGGTACCATGGGCATCTCATGGGGCCCCCTACTGACCCTGGGCCCTCAGGCAGTGCCCGAGTTTCCAAATGGTCAGTCCGCCCCTACTGGATACTAACATTTATAGGTAAAGTTGATCCAGGGAATATCCGATTGCCTCTCGGGGGGGATCAGAAAGGATATTTTTTTCACCTGCAGGAGCAAATTGGATTATGCTTTATTGGGGGGGGGGGGGGGTTTACTTCCCCTGGATCAACTGTGGGTATAGGATTGTATACTTTATATAGGATTGTATCATTTTTTTTTTTTTTTAATTTTTATTGGTTGAACTACCCTGTTTCCCCGAAAATAAGACAGTGTCTTATATTCATTTTTGCTCCCAAAGATGCGCTAGGTCTTATTTTCAGGGGATGTCTTATTTTTCCATGAAGAAGAATACGGTACACATTTATTGTTAAATGAAAATAAAAGAAATTACCATTTTAGTAACCCCTTTTGATCCTCCTGTGTCATTTTGATTGTCCCCTCTGATCCTCCTGTGTCATTTTGATTGTCCCCTCTGATCCTCCTGTGTCATTTTAAGTGATCCCCCTCCCCCCCACCCCTGTGCCACTGAACACCTTCACCAGACATCCCCCCCCCCACCCCTTTATCAGACATTTCCCCCCTGGGGCATGCCTGGGGACTGTCACTGGGCTGGCTGGGGCCTGGACCTGGGCTGGAGCAGGGTCTGCCACTGACTGAGAACCTTCAGTCATCATGAGGGCGGTGCCACCAGAAGACAGACCAGCACTCACCACCTTCGCCGCGTCCCGTCCGCTCTGATCCTCCTGTTCTTCTACACACATCTCTCTCCTGCTCACTCCGACCTCCGCTCCGCCTCCACATAGCAGTGACGTCACTGGTTGCTAGACACCAGTCGGGGCGGCCCTAGCAACCAGTTTACGGTAAATTAATTTTCATTACGAGACAGAGCCTAGGGGGGCCTTATTTTCGGGGGGATGCCATATATTTCACCCAGAAGGAAACCTGTAAGTAGGTCTTATTTTCGGGGAAACACGGTAGATGGACTTGTCTTTTTTCAACCAGACTGACTATGTTACTTTGTGACTTTATAAGGCTCCATTACTTTGCACAGTGCTGACAATTAAAAGCTTGAACTGTTTGAAGGAAGAAGACCTTATTGATATGCAAATTCCTTACTGTCCAATCAGCAAGCTGGGGGTGGGTCCCTGACTATGCTGTATTGCTTAACCGCAACAGAGGTCAAGGACCTAGCTGGGCTGCCTAATAGGGGGGATCGCAGGACTGGCTGAAAACAAAGAAAAATCTTTTGAGAGATCACAAGGCACATATACTGTATATACGTATTCAGCAGTAGAATTTATCTTTAGGGCCAAGGGTTGGTGCTGCTGGAAACTTGCAATGCTGGAAAAAAAGGGGTGGGGGGGGTGGGGGGGGCAAAATAACAGTGATGGGGGGGGGGAGTTTGCAGAATTAATAGTGATTTGTTAATCCTTGAATCTTTCCCCCCTTTTCACATTAATAGAAACATCTAGCAATCCAGAAAATGGAATTCCATGCTTGCAGGTTTGACATATCGTATCCTTTGTGCAAATGGCCGATAAAGGTGTTTACTGATTCTGGCTGAAATATAGATGGGGCCAAAAGTAAATATATAAAATGACAAAGTTATGAAAAGGCAGGTAGAAGTCAGTTTAATTAGCAAAATATGGACAGCGCCAAAAATAACTATAAATATAATATAAAGTGCAAAAAGCCGCAAAACCTAACCTATAAGGTAAAGATATAAAAATGAAAAACAGGTTTGCGCTAATAATCCCACACAAATTACAATCAAAAATATTGCTTGATATATAACTTGATAAAAATTATTATATAAACAAAATCCTTAATTGTGTCAAATATAATGTGCAACATTATATTTGACACAAGTAGCCTCCCTGGCGTATTCCCGAGTGTAGCTCGGGGTAAAGTTTCAGTACCACAAGTGGTAACCCCCCCGAGCTACACTCGGGCTTACCATGCGGCGCTGCTCCGGGATCTCTTCTTCTCTTACCTTGTCCTGCGCTCCCGCAATGTCCCCCCTGCAGTGTCCCCTGTAATATCCTCCGGCCAATGCCGGCATCTGTCTTCTGAGTTCTGTCCCCTGCGAGCGTCGGGACGTACAGGGGACAGAACAGCGGGAAATTTGAAAATGACAAAAAGTGACATTCACTAAAATCACATCGTATAACATTCCTGTATCAACCCATTTCACATACATTTTGTCCCGAGTGCTTTGTCCGGCGCCCTGCCTGCATTTTTACTGTTCTTTTTCTGCCTGGAAACTGAGAAACGTCCATGGCGTCCAAAAAGCGTCCCTTTAGGTCAGACGCGGTTTTAGACCGGCTAGAGGACAGCGATAGTAAATCAGAACCACTTGCAGAATTGAGTGATAATGATTGGTGGGGGAAATTCCTCATCAGACACTGAAAACGATTCTGCGACTGAGCTCAGCGATGTGCGAACTTGGCGCTCTATTTCACATTTCAGTGTTTTTGGTTTGATTATATTATTGAATTACATTTATTATTATATTATTATTTTTTATGATTATTTATTACATTATAATTTATGATTTCGTGTTTCAAGTTTTATCCTCCCCGGGATGTTTACTAGACTCTTGTTCGGACAGATTTCAGTGAGTTATTCCTAAAAATTACAGGCCTACAATAAAAAAACGACATATTTCCATGCAAAAAAATGTACCGCTTTGAGCACAGAAATACTGACATAATCAGACCGCTAGGGAGGTTAAGGATTTTGTTTATATAATAATTTTTATCAAGTTATATATCACGCAATATTTTTTATTATAATTTGTGTGGGGTTATTAGCGCAAACCTGTTTTTCATTTTTATAGGTAGAAGTCAGTGAAGGAAATTTGGAAAACTATTTTAAAATGTCAGCAGCTTAGTAAAAAAAAAAAAAAAAAAGTATTCCCAGATATCGCAGCCGAGGATCTAAATAAAAAAAACAAAAAACCACCATATGCTCGCCGCTCGCCTCTTCGCTGACTTTTCCCGTCCTGCTAATTACCAATCCATTGATTTTGTAATCAGTCTTGGCGCACCCCCCCCCCACCCCCCATTTTTCTTGGTGGCAGTAAGAAGCTGTCAGGCGTTGCGGTTCAAACGTCCCAGCCCTCCCCCTCTTCTGCTCGCTAACTGGGAGGCAGGTAACACGCGCACGCTGCGCAGTAACACAGCTCCGAGCAAGGACATACTGCAGGCGCTCCTCCCCGCGATCGCCATTTATAACTGTCAAACCTTTATCATTGACAAATCTGTTTGCGCGGGGAAGACGTTCAGGATGTAGATCAAGGCGAGCCAGGAGTTGCAATATTTATGGCGCTGGCGTTGCGTTTTGACATTGCCTCTTATGCTAAGGTGGCGAGGAAACAGCCAGACATGGGCCACAATGGAGGAGAATGGTGTAAACGGATACAGCATTATTTAAGATTAAGAAAGCAGAGAGTAATATATAATGAGAGTCATTTATCACGGCGCAGTGTTGCGGGGAGCTCCCCGTGGGGACCTGTCTCTGCCGTTGCTGAGTTTATTATTGCAGCAAGCAGAAAATGTTTACTATTTAAGGGGGGGAAAAAAAAAACACTAAACTATTAGAGGATTTTATTCATTTCTACTGTCTGTTTATCGATTCCATGCCTGTCCTTTGCATCGTGCTTAGAGGGGGAAATAAAATGGTTTTCCATCAATTAAAAAAAAAAAGAACACACACAACAACAACAATGTCAACAACAACAACAACACAACAGCAAAGCTTTACATTAAAGTATGACTAAAGTCAAAATTGTTTTTTTTTAGTTGTGGACGGAGTGGAGATGGATCAGACCCTCTGTCAGTTTTTATTGCTGTCTGTGCCCCCATTAGGGAGATCCCCCCCTCACCTCTCTATTTGTCCTGTTTACCATTACCATTAAAAATTAAAGTAAAAGCAAATCCCAAATTTTGGGTTGTTACCAGAAAAGTAATAGAGGGCAAATCTTCCAATGGGGACACTAGTTTGGTGACCTGGGGGGTCCTCAAGGAATTACCTTAACCCCTTGGCGCCGAAGCCTCCTGGCCCTTTAAGGGTTCCAGAAGCCAGGAGGCGGGGCGGGGTTTTAGGGTCATGTGTCCGCCGTCACATGATCGGGAAAGGTCCCGATCGAAAGAGGAGATCGGGACCTTTCCGTGAGTACTGAACGTGTGTGTTGGGAGTACGTAGGGCGCGCGCTCTCAGCGCATATTTTTTTTTAAAAGAACGCAAATGTGCGGCCGCTCGGCATCTAAGCCCAGACGCTGGAAGGCTGCACATTTGCGTTCGGCTGGCACCAAGAGGTTAATTTGACGGGATTTTCTCTAACTTCCTGTTTGGCTATGGGACAGGAAGTGAAGGGAAATCTCTGTAATGGGACACAAAAATATCTGACAGGGGTTATAACCAGGGGCGGACTGACAACTCATGGGGCCCCCGGGCAATAGGGGATCATGGGGCCCCTGTGTCCTTGCCCAAACTCAAAAAAGCCTATGAAAAAGGTACCAGGGGCATCTCATGGGGCCCCCTACTGACCCCGGGTCCTGGGGCAGTGCCCAAGTTGTAACTCACCCTGGCTCTATCCAAAATGAAAAAATAATTGCCTACAGTTCTACTTTAACAAATGCCTGCTTGCTTGCTTGCTGGCAGCCTGTGCAAACTGACGAATAAAGATGGTCCTGTCACTGCTAGCAGAGGGCAGTGAGTGTCAGCTGAGTGTGTAATCTGAATTCTTCTCGTCTTTTGCAGCAACAGCTGGGTTTTGCCACTTGCTGGCTGCAGGTGGTATCCATGAATTATTCAAACAGACTAATATCTATATATATATATATCCAGCATCAGTACTCTACTAGATTAGAGGATGGGGGGCAACTCCATATTAATGTCCATGGGGGATGGGGAGCAATTCCATATTAATGTCCATGGGGGATGGGGAGCAACTCCATATTAATGTCCATGGGGGATGGGGGGGGAAACTCCTAATTAATGGTCATGGAGGATGGGGGGGGGCAACTCCATATTAATATTCATGGAGATGGGGGTCAACTCAATATTAATGGTCATGGAGGATGGGGGAAACTCCATATTAATGTCCATAGGGGATGGGGGGCAACTGCTAATTAATGTTCAGGGGGGATGAGGGGCAACTCCTAATTAATGGTCATGGAGGATGGGGGGCAACTCCATATTTAATAGTCATGGAGGATGGGGGGCAACTCCATAATAATGGTCATGGAGGATGGGGCACAACTCCATATTAATGGTCATGGAGCATGGGAGGCAACTACATATTAGTGGTCATGGGGGATCACGGAGGGGGGGCAACGCCATATTAATGGTTATGGAGGATGGGGGCAACTTCATATCTATGTCCATGGGGGATGGAGGGCAACTACATATTAATGGTCACGGAGGATGGGGGGCAACTCCATATTAATGGTTATGGAGGATGGGGGCAACTTCATATCTATATCCATGGGGGATGGGGGGCAACTACATATTAATGTCCACGTGGATGTGGGGGGCAACTCCATATTAATGGTCATGGAGGATGGGGGGAAAACTTCATAATGTCCCAATACACATTAATGTCCATGGGGATGGGGGGGGCGCAACTACATATTAATGGTCATGGAGGATGGGGGAAAACTCCATATTAATGGTCATGGAGGGGCAACTAAACATTAATGTCCATGGGGGATGGGGGGGGGGGCAACGCCATATTAATGGTCTTGGAGGATGGGGGGCAACTCCATATTAATGAGTATGGAGGATGGGGGCAACTTCATATCTATGTCCATGGCGGATGGGGGGGGGCGACTCCATATTAGTGATCATGCAGGATGGGGGGAAAACTCCATATTAATGTCCATGGGAGATAATTCCATATTAATGGTCAGACAAGCTCATATAAGTTTGATGGTCGGCATGTACAACATTTTGGCCATATAGTGTATCTACAAAAACTTAAAGATGGGATTGTGGTTCAGTTTGTTTACTGAAAAAAATGGCCAAAATTGTCAAGAGATTACCTGTACTTGATTCAAGAGACAACTTAGCTGCAAGGAAGATAGCCTGTACAGCCGCTGGAAGCTCCCCCAGGAAAGCCAAGTCATTTAGTGACTGATTGAACGCGCTGATCATTATCCACACATAAAAACAAAAGCTTTCCGCTAATCAGATGGCCCAAGTATGCAAACAAGACTTATTAATGGCTGTTTAATATTTGTAATAACGTTTCCTATTTACCGAGGAAGTAAATCAGCGTCGGGAATGAGATTCCTAACCAAGTAATGAGCGCATTCCACAAGGGCAATTTCTGATTAAATTGGAAAGTTTCCGAGAGAAAATGATTTTTTTTCCCTTCTCTCCCTTGTAGGCAAATGAAGGATTTACCAAAGCAAAACTAAAAATAAAAACGCGCCGGGTCATTTAACAGATTGTACTTCTGCAGATAAGTACCGAGCGACATAAAACACAATATGGAGACATCCGCGGGTCCTTTTCTGATTTACAATTATTAGAATTAAAATGCAAAGCTGTTTACAAAGTACGAAACTGGTTCTGCAAGAGAAACGAAAAGGCGAGGAGATCGGGTTTGTCATTTCACAAAATGAAATATTGTTGCCCGGATTTGTTTTGTGTAGCTTTGTGCTTTCATGGGTTTGATTTAGTTTTTGGGTTTTTTTTGCTCTTTTAAAGCATGTTGTAGTGCAGCACTTATGATATATTCTACACCAGCCTTTCTCAACCTCTATAACACGGAGGAACCCTTGAAATAACTTTCCTGTTTTAGAAATGCCCTACCAATAATGACTATATCTACAGCTCACAATACATTAGAGTGATGATCAGTGGGAAGAAACCCCCCCCCCCACCCCTTTCTGACAGATCAAAAGATCATCGGTGTCAGTGGTTACTTACCTGACAGTCAGAAATTGCTTATCGATCAATGAACCTCTGACAACCTCTGGGCAACTGCTAATTAATTAATGCAACTCCTAATTAATTCAGGGGGTCATGAGGGGCAACTCCTAATTAATGGTGGGGCACAACTCCATGGTCATGGAGGATGGGGGGCAACTCCATATTAATAGTCATGGAGGATGGGGCACAACTCCATATTAATGGTCATGGAGGTTGGGGGGCAACGCCATATGAATCGTCATGGAGGATGGGGCACAA